TGCCCGTAGGCGGGTGTCCTTACAGTGATGCGTGCCCGTAGGCGGGTGTCCTTACAGTGATGCGTGCCCGTAGGCGGGTATCCAAACAGTCACGTGTGTCCTAACAGTAACGTGTGCCCATAGGCGGGTATCCAAACAGCCGCGTGTGCCGGTAGGCGAGTGTCTCGGGAGAGACTTGTTTCCTGGCCTTGACGTGTTAATGTAAGAGTGGCTCACGGCACATGTTCATTTCCCACAATATGGACAGTTAATCATTTGCCAGCTCTGGCTGCAGTCTGCACCAGGCTCCTGCCTCGGCCCATGACAGGCATATCATGCTACGTGTGCTGAGCTACTCACTGATCCTGCTGCTGCTCGTGCTCCAGGGCCCGGCACACGGGGGGCCCGGGGCCAATCCGGGGGCCGGCCCCTCGGGTCAGGAGCTCTTATGGGGCTCGGACCAATACGACTTCGCTATTGTGGTGCAGGCCTCGGCTCTGGACTGCTTCTGGCACCACATGCATCAAGGGGAGAAGTTCTACCTAAACTACATGGTGAGCCTATCAGACTGTCCCTCTCCCTGACCAGCGTGGTGGCTGGGCGATCAGACCGTGCAGCACCGCCTGCTCTCTCAGGAATAAATGTGAACACTAACTTGATCAGAGGCTGTATTGCCTCTCCTGCAATGAGTACTGAGAAATAACTGCTCATGGATTGAAAACTGGAAAGTAATGAGATCAAAAGTGTCTGCCAGAGCAGATGTGTGTCTAGATGAGAGTGATAATGCAGTCCGACAGCGGACGCACCCGCTGGCAGCTGCCACCGGAGGATGTGACCATGCAGGCGCTCATTTAAGATCTGTGATATTGTGACTTAATGCAAAGTCTTCCCTGTTTTGTTGCATTTGGATGGATGGTAGCCATTTCACGGGAGTGAGGGAATGGAGTGAATTACCACACAGAAAACAAAGGGAAATCTGAAATCACTGACCTAAGGTCCACTCTGTGTCCATAATGTATCTTTTATAGTTTTCAAAAATAGACGGGCTTAGTAAAAGAATGTTACATTTCTGTCAAACTGGGGAATCCATCAGACAGGACACTGATTCCATATAAAGACGTTAGTGTCTGGCTGTGGCCTGCAGACTTGCTGTGCCTGTGCATCCAGGTGCAGTGGGTGACAGGGGTGGCCGACAGGCGTCTGTCTGTTTCTGTTAACTCTCCCGCTGGCCTCCTGCTCTCCATGATCGACGACGCCAAAGGCCAAGTCAGCTTCCTGGCACGAGAGACAGGTAAAGAGCCACTCTCTCCTGGAGGTCCCGCCCACATGGGTCTGCAGAATATGAATTCATACACTAAAGGATGGGAGGGACATCAGCATTGTGGGACATTACTGGGGAAACGTCTCACTCCTGCACTTCAGCAACTGCTCTGGTGGCTTTTCTGGACACAGGTTTTTATCAGATGTGCTTCAGCAATTTCCACAACCGCCTGGGCAGCATGCAGGTCTTCCTGAGCTTCGGGGTTTACTACGAAGGTGCAGGAGAAGGGAAAGAGAAGGAGGAAAAGCAGAAAGAACTGAATGACACGCTGTCCATCATTCAGGTAGGAGCCGGTCTAAGAGCAGATGTCCTGAAACCAGTGATGGTCTTAAGACAACTGCTGAATCTTGCTGAATTTGATTGTCATTTTTCTAGGTAGCAACTGTCATGTTTCTAATAAACCTGAATTACAGCGTGGACAAGAGCAGCCTTTACAGGCTTTCAGTTTCGTATCCGTGGGTGATAATTATGTTACCTTGTGGTCATCCTGCTCTGCATGCATCTGATCTAGGGAGCTAAGCAGAGTTGGGGCTGGTTAGTACTTAGATGGGAGACTTGGGTGTTTTTTTGCCTCAGCAGGTTACGAATACCGTGACTGGAAGGTTGCTGGTTCAAATCCCAGCGTCAGCAGAGTGATTTCATTGTTGAGCCCCTGAGCAAGGCCCTTAACCACAATTTCTCCAGAAGCAGAATGACCTCGCTTTCTTATAAGACACATGATGCTTTGGATAAAAGCATCTGCTAAACAAATAAAATGTAACCTTTTCATTTTCAGCAGAACGTTCATGCAGCTGTTCCTGCTCTTGCTTGACAGGATAGTTCCTACAGGCTGCAGGCCTACGTGTTCCACATGGGGCGCTACTACAGCTTTGCCCGCATGAGCAAAGGGGCAGACTACTACCTGCTCCTATCCAACGCCAGCTACGTGACCTGGTGGTCTGCCGCCCAGAGTGCCGTCATCATCACGGCTGGATACCTGCAGCTTCTCGTCCTCAAGAGGCTCTTCAAAACCACAACAAGCACAGAGAGCAACAAGCCTCGCTGCTGAGGCATCTCTCTGTGGCCCGGCTCGAAGTCGCCCCCACGGTGGCACGGTGCCCACAGCCTGGCAACCCACCATGTTGCTTTACCTATTACTGAGCTGGTTACCTGTTGGATCAGCTCTTATACAAGAGGGATCAGCTCTTATACAAGAGGGATCAGCTTTTATTCAAGAGTGATAATCATGTAATCTGTTCTCAACTAAGAGTTGCAAATAAAAGGACAGTACTTTAACTAAAAGAAGGAGGTTTGTATTTTAAAGGCTCCTGTAGCTCACAATAAAAAGGTCATCAGTTCAAATCCCATGGTACACACAAAAATTGTAAAAGTGTCAGATAAATGAATGTGTTAAATAATGCCCATGTTATTCTACAAGCTTTGTAGCACAGCTATAAAACACATTTTCAGTGGTGCGGAAGACCTTTCTTTTAGTGATGAGGTACAAACACCTCTGAAGTTGGATGCCCGTTATGATTTTCCTGTGTCTGCCGCTGAACGCACCTTAAAGTTAATAAAGCACACGTGTAATGCAGGAGTGCAGGAGGAGTTAATCATTAAATCCATCAGATAGCAGCCGCTGAGCTGCACCACAGCATGTGTGTGAGTGTGAGCGTGAGTGTGAATGCAGGTCATGCACGTTCGGCTCTGCTGCTCCCTGCTGCTGCTGCTGCTTAGACGTGGTGATGGGGGGCAAAAAACAGAACCGCTTGCTGACAGAGGGGAACGGGCCACGTTTTGGGGATCCGATCACTACGACTTCACCATCATGCTGCCCGGCTCGGGGCTGCAGTGCTTCTGGCACTTCGCACAAGAGAGCGGCCGCTTCTACCTGACATACATGGTGAGTACAGGCCGGGCGTGAAGGACAGGACACCGGCGGATGGGACTGGGCCGACTGGGATGCTTTCAAGTTAGGAAAAAAGGCGTTTTGGTATGTCAGGTAATCAGCCAAATGTTTCACACACGTGTGACCTGATGAACCACTTGTGCAGTCATCCGTCTCTGTGATTTTAATAAGAACAGGATGACAGTGTAGAGTACTGAATGGTATTTGACAGCGTGAGATTGTTTTTGGTATCTAAGCAGTCAATGACAGGATTTAGGGAGCTTCACTAAGCTCTGGAAAACTAGCATTACATTCTGGTAGCTTTTTACAATAAGTATGTAACCTGGAGCCTTGCTTCTCCTTGGGCTTATCACCTGCCTCTTTCAGGTGAAGTGATACCTTATCTCCACCTTCCTCAGGTGCCAGGCTTGCTTGAACACCCCCATTACCACCCCCAGTGGCCAGATGCCTCATGACGAAAAAATTCTTATACACTAACATACGTCCTTCTTCTTAGTGTCAACATATCATTTAAAAATCCAGATTACCTTTGGTATTACGTTTTATTTCAGTGTAGCCGCATAACAGACATTTGCAAGGCTGGATATTTTGGCACCGGGATTAATGATAAACATCTTGGTGAGCTGTTTCCTTAGCCATCAGCTCCCAATCTGTTTGAAACCTCAGTGCTCCTGCATGTGAATATTTTGGTCTCATGTAAGTCCAAAGATGCTGGAGACCTGATGAGCTGGTATTGCTCTGTGTGACTGTGCTACATGCCAGACAGTAGCCAATGTCTTTCCTATTTAGAGAATCATACTCTTATTTGTGAATAATTTATCTCAAAGGCACTGGATCAATAGCTATTTAAATACTGCTGACTATGAATTCTGTTATGATACAAAAAAGAGACATAAAGGACTTTAATATGTGTTGTCTGTTGTCTTCAATTGAGATTAATGACCTTGAGAACTTTACTACATTTGCAGTGAATGTTCTGAAGTAGATGCCATGCTGACGGCTTTTCTCTTTTCTGCACAGGTACAGAAGCTCAGCGGTTTGGCCAATGACAGACGCCTGTCAGTCAGGGTCCTAACCCCTCAGGGTTTTCTGGAGACCTCCTCAAATGATGCCGTTGGCCAAATTAACTTCCAGACTCAAGAAACAGGTAATAACACCACAGCAATTATAAAGAACAGTTTAAGTCAATAAAGTTTACATTTCCGAAAAATGTATATCTTTAAGGGACACAAACCTGGTCAAAGTAGATGCTGGCTAAAGTTTGAGCCACAAGTGGTGAAGAGGCTTTGGCTTTTCTTCGATGTAAAACACTTTTAATTACCTCACATGTGAAAATATGCTTTCTTTAAAAATCGCCTGTAATAATTAGAACCTCGGCATTTAACTTCTTTTTCATATTATTTATGAATGTGGCTCCTTATCCAAAGCGACTGGGTGCCGTGGGGTATTTAATCACTTTTTCTCCCCCTATTGGCCAAAAGCAGTTTGACAGCCTGATGTGATTTTATCTTATTGTCTGAATTATTTCGTCCTCCGGTACATCAAACACTTCAGTGTGATTATATAGCTTATGTTTAAACATTTACAATGCGCAGTTTGGCTAGTTCACAAACATATGTCATATAATTTACGTGGAGTACATATTTTGCGATATCTGATTTTTATGTGTAATTTCTTAACTCTAGGATTTTACCAGATGTGTCTCACCAACGCCCACAATAGTTTTGGCAGCATGCAGGTCTTCCTGAACTTCGGGGTTTACTACAAGGGTGCAGGCGACACGACAAAGACGGAGGATGGCAGAAGGAACATCACAGACACCCTGTCCCAGATTGAGGTAGCACTGCAAATGCCTGGATATTACATGACATATTTTGGCTATTTAAATGCATAACTTATTCTCTTCTACACTCGCCTAGGCAGTTTATAGCACTACCTACTTAATTACTGTAAAGTTTATGGATGACCTTTACTTGCCGTTAAATGTATTTACTGAAAATAACCGCAAATTACTCTTTCTTTTTAGAGTAGTTCTAAAAAGCTGCAGGGTAACATATGGCAGATGTGGCGGCACTATAACTTCGGGCGCATGACGAAAGGGGCAGACTACTACCTGCTCCTATCCAACGCCAGCTACGTGACCTGGTGGTCTGCCGCCCAGAGCGCCCTCATCATCACAGCTGCATACCTGCAGCTCCTCATCCTCAAGAGGCTCGTCACCCCCAGAGGCACGGAGAGCGTCAAACCTCGCTGCTGAGCAGCAGCCTCACGTGACGCTCCTATAGCATCGCTATAAAAACGCCCATGATTATATTACACAAACCATTGATTAAGTCGACAAAGATGGGCAAGCAGCTTTTGATCAAATGCTTCAGACTTTCATAAGACATTCTCACAAATTGGATATTATTTTGTATAATGATTTTTATCTAAGAGAATATTATAAAGACTCCATTTTTGAAATAAAGACTAATGACCTGAACATGAGTGCAATCTGATGTCTTGTATTACGCTTCGATGCCGCTGTTACACACATATAATACATTCTATGATTCTATTTCTCAAGCACATTACAAACATACAAAACAAAATGAAACTCTTATAACTGCGTTAGCTTTATATGGCTCGGTCTGAGTTTATTAACAATATCTAGTAGAAGTGTTTAAGTCACTGTACGCCACTGTACGCAGTAGCGCAACAAGCACCCAAACACGCAGATGCTCCAGTATCGTCGCTGTGGCTCGGCAGCGTGGAGCGTGCCGGGAGCGCGCAACCGCGGCGCTTGGTTTTGACGCCACTTCGCCGGCGCACGTCTTTGGCGTCACAGCGCTTTTGCGCTGGCTCCGGCTTGAACATGGCGGCGCGCTGGAGCAGTGAGAATGCTGTGGTGGAGTTGAGAGACTCACAGGTAGTTGGCGGCGTTTTAGCCGCGGTCAGACCTTCACTTTAATGCGAGGTAGCTGCTGGAATAAACGGCTGGTCGGTCGCAGTCCTCCCCGTGACTCCCTCCTGCGGTGTCTGAAAGTGTTTACTTGGAATGCGGGGGGTCATGTCATACAATACATATCACGTATGAGTCAATTCTGCGGCTCTCTTTCATATTTCCTGATGTTCCTACATGCCTGACAGTCCAGACTAATTGCATTGAGCGTTGCCAGCGGATCCTGTATTTAGGTGGCGACTCTTCCCCATTACATACGATGTTGTTGTTCTCTTGTTGTGTTTCAGGCTACTGCCATGTCCGTGGACTGCCTGGGACGCCATGCTGTGCTGTCAGGGTGAGATTTTAGAGAGTTTGTCATTTGCACAGTGATCAGTCATTTACACTATGCTGTGAGATCCCCTGCCCCTAAAATCAACTATCACTAGCTGTCGCACCAAAGTGATATCAGGCTTATTTAAGGAGTCACATTTACCAAGTTATGGTACCCATCTGCACTTATGCACATCTATGCAATGTTTGTAACTGCCTTTTTTTCTATATAAAAGGCTTTGATTTGGTCTGGTTAGTGTGGCACTGAATTGACTCCACGCTCTGTTCCCGCTTTCCTTTTTCCCATGGACTTGACTGTTTTCCAGACGACGCTTCCTGTATGTGTTTAATCTGGAAAGCCCTTCCGAGCCCTTAAGGAAGATATCGCGGCAGTGCAAGTGGGATGTGGGGACGGTGCAGTGGAATCCGCACGAAGCTGAGGCCCACCTCTTTGCTGCCTCGGTTAGTGTTGGAGAAATCCACCGTGACGGGATGGCGCCAAACCGCTATTCCTCACCTTCTCCTGCTGTTTCCCTAGAATAACCAGCGTGTCGATCTGTACAAGTGGCAGGACGGTGCTGGGGAAATCCACACTTCTCTACTGGGTCACACGCGTGTCATCAGGTAGAGCAGCCGCACTGCTGGAGGATTTGCAGTGATGTGGATGCTCTGTATGTGAGTGCGTGTCCCTGTGCGTGTCACTGTCTCTGCCTTTAACTATTACATTTTGCTCCCTCTCTGCCTGTGAGTCATTTCATATCAACCCACCCTGTTTTAGAAAAATTCCCCAGGTCACCCTCTTGGATTCTCCTGGAAAAATTCACAGGTTCTCCTATAACAAACTTATGTTGAAATCCCGGATAGTAGGTTTTTATCTCTTAGTTTTGAAACTACAGCTTTATGAATTTTAATAAAAAAAAAAAATTTAAATTTGTTATGTACAGCTTTGAGATGAGCTGTGTCATATGTTGTTCTTTTACTAGGCTCTGAAAATGGCTGAAAACTCAAAATGATGCCCCCTTTGAGAGCTTTTGAGAACATTATGCTAGATAAAGCAATTTCTTTCCTGTCATTTATGAGATATTAGGCCACATGTATGCAGTAACAATTTTTTATTACTGGTTTCGGAGCATCAGATCAGTCTTTTGAAATGTACTCAATTTTTAAAATTTCCCATCTTCTTGTCCTCATTTGACTATCATTTTCATGTTTCCCCCGTATTATTGTATATCTGAAGACAAGAATTATGATTTCTTTTAAAGAATGTGCTGTCATGGGCTTGTTGCCACAGAAGTTTAACAAAAAATATCAATACGCAGAAAGGTAATTATCAAGAATAACGACCAAAACCAGGGATTAGACAAGAATCAGTAAACCAGAAACAAACCAAAGTCATACACAAGCAGTCAAAACCGGAAATAAGGAAAAATCAATAGTGAGAGCAAATCAGCAAAATAGGCAGGCGATGGTGGCATCTGCGGCCCTTTTGTAGGTCCCAGAACTGATGATATTGGATGCTGTTAGGGCGAAGATTTGGGCGAGGCCAGCGAATCTTCTTTGGCTCATCTTACGACGTCTACTGGAACACAATACAGGATTCCACCGCAAAACGGCACAGCATATAATCCAAGGACTTACAGCATGTGACAACAGACATATCAATGAGAGGAACATACTGTCACTTTACTACTAAGCTGGGACCATCTGGGTGACTTGGTATAGAATGACCACTTTATTAGACTGTCCCGTGCCTGCCTGCCTCTTTTTAATAGACTGTCCCGTGCCTGCCTGCCTCTTTTTAATAGACTGTCCCGTGCCTGCCTGCCTCTTTTTATTAGACTGTCCTATGCCTGCCTCTTTTTATTAGACTGTCCTATGCCCGCCTGTCTTTTTTTTATTAGACTGTCCTATGCCTGCCTGCCTCTTTATTAGACTGTCCCGAGCCTGCCTGCCTCTTGTTATTAGACTGTCCTATGCCTGCCTGCCTCTTATTATTAGATTGTTCCATGCCTGCCTGCCTCTTATTATTAGACTGTCCCAAGCCTGCCTGCCTCTTATTATTAGACTGTCCTCTGCCTGCCTCTTTTTAATAGACTGTCCTCTGCCTGCCCTGCCTTTTATTATTAGACTGTCCCGTGCCTCCCTGCCTCGTTTTATTAGACTTTATTAGAGCCCTTATTATACATAAGTGGGTGTTGAAGGCTGGTGGACACTCCCTCATCCTTTTACTTCTGTTTCCCTGGCTTTTGACAGTGACCTTGACTGGTCCTGGTTTGATCCAGAGTTTCTTGTTACCAGCTCTGTGGATGCTTTTATCTATATCTGGGACACCAGGTAAGGCTGAAGTTTGATTTATTATACAATATAATGATGATAAACTATAGTCTGCAAAACTGGTACAATGAAAAGGTTTTTACATATATAAATTGTGCTTATTTGTTGGAAATAACACTCAAAAATGCTGTTTTTTTTTAGCATTCAGTGGGTAGTTTCAATTTGTTTCTTATACAGTGGGTACAGTGAGATCTCCTGTAAGAGTCACTCCTAGTAGTGAGCTCACGGCAGAGATGCCATATGAACTGCCACCACTGTGGGGCAGTAGTGATGTAGATCTGCCCCAGTGGCTGTTAGCCATAGTGGTGACAACATTTCAAACTGCATGCAAGAAACTCTTTGGGCACTCATCCGAACGAGTAATGATTGAGGTGTGGACGAGGGGCCCCTTGGTGTGCTTCTGAAGTAAGGAAGATGTCAAGATTCTCTGGAGAACACCTGGTATCCATACGTCTTTCAGTCACAGCCTTTAGGGCATCTAGCATACACATGGATTTTCTTCTCTGCAACGAGAAAATCATTTTTGAAACATGGGATGGAATATGCAGAGCAGGAGTTCAGGGGTAAGCTGCACTGCAAGTTTTTCCAGGACATTTTACTTTTTCTCTCAATTTCCATTTTTTTTATTTTACTGGAAAATTGGTTGACTATTTTCCAGGCTTTCCAGGAGAATTGGAAACCTTGTTCACATTATGAGTAATTTATTGTTACTTTTTACAGAGATACCCGAAAGCCTACAGTAGCGCTGTCTGCTGTAGGTGAGTGCATTCTGTCTGTCTGTCTGTCTGTCTGTCTGTCTGTCTGTCTGTCTGTCTGTCTGTCTGTCTGTCTGTCTGTCTGTCTGTCTGTCTGTCTGTCTGTCATCGGTGATTCTGTCTGTCTGTCTGTCTGTCTGTCATGGGTGATTCTGTCTGTCTGATGTGGGTGGTCATTTGCTTCTGCCTGCATGTTTGGGCTCTGCTTGTGCCTTGATCTGTGGCTGCTTCCCCACATCTTGTCCGCAGCGGGAGCCTCCCAGGTGAAGTGGAATAAGCGGAACCCCTTCTGCCTGGCCTCCAGTCATGACGGCGATGTCCGAATCTGGGACAAAAGGGTAACTTGGGGCTTTGGGAAGGGAACCTGCACATCGGGCTGAGGTGGCCCTAACGCAGCCCCCCCATTCGCCCAGTAGAAACCCAACACGGCTGTGGAGTATGTTGCTGCTCACCTGTCCAAGATCCACGGACTGGACTGGCATCCTGACAGCGAGTACGTCCTGGCCACCTCCAGCCAGGACAACTCTGTACGGGTGAGAGGCTGTCGCCGGATCTCTGTCCCCAAGGAATCGCAAGCAGCTGGGCTGTCCGGTGTTGACTTTCGCACTTTCTCTTGTGTCCATTTAGTTCTGGGATTACAGACAGCCGCGAAAATACCTCAACATCCTGTCCTGCCAGATGCCGGTCTGGAAGGCCCGGTACACGGTGAGTGTGGTCCTGGCAGCTAGGTCGAGTCCCCGCAATGTGTGCCTCGACTCCCCAGTGTGTTTGCCTGTGTATGAGGCAATACCGTGCCTTTTCTCCCCACAATGCTCATGCATGTGTGTTGAGGCAGCACTCTGCCCCGTCTCCACAGAGTGCGTGTGCCAGCGTGTGTTGAGGCAGCACCCTGCCTCGTCTTCTTACAATGCGTGTGCCCATGTGTGTGAGGCAGTACCCTGCCTCGTCTCCCCAAAGTGCGTGTGCCAGTGTGTGTGAGGCAGCGTCATGCCTCGTTTCTTCATAGCCCTTCTCCAACGGCCTGGTGACGGTCATGGTGCCCCAACTGCGCCGGGAGAACAGCCTGCTGCTGTGGAGCGCCTTGGAGCTGAACAGCCCGGTTCACGCCTTTGTCGGCCACGACGATG